CTTTGTTTTTATGCTCTAATTATTGAGCTTTTTTTTTTGGGTTTTGAGCTGTGCTACATTCTGATCATTCTGTTTGTTTTTTTGCTTTTGCAGATGTCGAGGAATTTTATCAGCAGTGTGACCCGGGTTAGTTATGGATCTTTTTACGTTCTTTTTTATGCACATTTTTTTTTCCTGTAAAAAATCGTGTACGCGATCGGCGATTGTCGTCCGTTGGGTTTATTTTTGCTTTGTGTGGTTGTACTTAGTTTTATTTGCTTTTGAATTTTGGTGGGTTTTGGGTTCTAATGTCATTTTGGCCTGCTCTTTTTTAGTAATAATTGCTTTTACGAAGAGTGAACGTGTGGAAACATGTGCTGTTCATTTATTAGATTGTTCAGATTAGTAAATTTCTACTGTTTGTGATGCTGACCCCAACGAGACATTTTTATTTTACATATTAAAAGGCATTATTATTCTGCTATTTCGGGAGTCTGGGTATTGGGTCTAAGGACAGAAGAAGAAGAAGAACTTTATTGCTCCTTTTCTCTTTTCAATTACTAGTATATATGGTATGTGTTTTACTGGGTTTTAACTGAGTAAAAAGTTTTTTACTGGTTAATCTCACATCCAATTCAAGATTTTAGAGTTTGATATGGTATTTTCTGCTTGCTTCTAGAGGTATCCATATTACTTCAAGAGCATTTTTGTCTCTATGTTTGTGTGCAATGTGAATTTATTGTGAGGAAAATCTCTTATTTTAGAGCACTGATTAAGCTTTTTGCCCACTTTGGAATTGCCATGTACTGGTTGGTTGGTCTTCACCTGGAGATGATGTGATTGATAACCACAGTGTTTCTGCTTAATACCCGTTGTCCCTTACGACTTGACTTAGCAATCAATCTTTCATTTTTGAAGTTTACATAGCTTGGAAGATATTGGTCCAACTTCATATATGGGCTTCGTTTTTGGCTTATTTTCTGTTGGATAACTTTTTGTTGCAGCTTGTTATCAACTTAAGTTTCAAATTGTTCATTTTATGTAGTCTAATTTATGGTTTCAGTAAACTCGCGTAGTTTTTCTTGATCAAATTTAACAAATTTCATGATTTTTTTTTGAAGTTAGTGCCTGATTTAGAGCCTCAAATGCATTTTGCATAATAAAGATATGGGCGATCAAATGTTTTGTTCTGCCTTTCTTGCATAAGTCCCTGTTTCTTATTGAACAAGTGTTTTTATGATTGAGATTAGATCATGCAAATTCTTTTCTTCTCAAAAGTTTCACATTTGTTCTATCTCGGAAACCTTGCAGAAAAGGAAAATCTCTGCCTTTATGGATTTCCAAGCGAGCAGTGGGAAGTCAATTTGCCCGCTGAGGAAGTGCCTCCTGAGCTGCCAGAGCCAGCATTAGGTATAAACTTTGCTAGAGATGGGATGCAAGAAAAGGACTGGTTGGCTCTAGTTGCTGTCCATAGTGATGCATGGTTACTCTCTGTTGCCTTCTATTTTGGCGCCAGATTTGGCTTTGATAAAACCGACAGGTAAACTATTCTATGACAACCTTTAATAAAACAGTTGGTTTGTAATTTCCTTCTGGTTTGCACTTTCCTTCTGGTTTGCTGTTTTTGTAGGCACCTTTCAAGTGAATTACTTGTGTATATTTTCTTTTTAATGATATCAGCTTTGTTTCTTTTGTTCAAATGTCAGCTTTCCAGTTACCTCTCCTTGCTATAATTAGTTTGCTTCAAATCATAAATAGTTGTGAACAGCATACAAAGCCTATGTTTTTTCTGTTAACTAAACAGTGTCACTTTGTAAAGCATTCTGGAAGTATGCTTATAAATTATAAACACCTTATCGGATGTCAAATCTTGGAGGAGAATAGTCCCAGGAGACATCTGTGTACTTGTAATGAAAAAAAAACAGTTTACTTCTTTGGTGCAGTAGTCTACTTAGTATGAAAAGTTTCAGCTCTTCGCTAAATCTTTGTGATTTCTTTAATCTAGGAAACGTCTATTCAACATGATAAATGATCTGCCAACAATATATGAAGTTGTTACTGGAGTGGCCAAGAAGCAAGTAAAGGATAGATCAACAATTTCAAATCACAGCAGCAACAAGTCGAAGTCAAATTCTAAAGCGGTATGGTTGGAAACCTCTTCTACCCCCCATACTTCTCCCTTACCCCAAAAAGATGCTCTTCTTGGATAACAGTAGTTGTGCAATGCTCTTTACAACAATTCTTTGGACAGTGTTTAATTGAAAATCCTTCAGCTTAGGACATTGCCAGTGAATACTTGCCTTGAAGTTTATGGTTGTGGACGAAAGATACAGTCCACTGATCAGCAAATAGGTCTTCTGTGATTTGAGCCATGGTTCTTTTTCCAGCATCCACACAGTTCTGAACAATTAATGTCTGTGATGACTCTCGAGGGTAGTAAGTAGCATATATTAGAGATGTCCTAGTGACTAGCTTGCTATTTTCATGCCATTTTAATAACATTGAGAGGTATGAAGCTGGAAACTGAGTCAAGCATTTGTCCAATTTTCTACTATAGAGGAAAATCCATCTTTCTTACCTGTTATAGTATTTAGGAGTTAAAACTGGCCTCGTAAGTTGATATATTGTTGATTTATCATATTCTTGTAGAATTGTTTACCTTGGTGTTTGATTTAGAAACAGAATAGACTTTGGTTTATACAATTCTGGGCAGGTCTGGAAGTGGTTGCCCACTTCTGGTTTGAGGAATGCTTAGTAGTCAGTTAAAGTGCTTTGAACTAAAGTAATTACAGTTGCGTTTTATGCTTAAGTTTGTTAGAAGAGGCTTTTGGGTGATTAGGGTAAAGACAATGCTGGAGTTTTTCGAAAGAGGTACAGTGTGAGGTAAAGGATGATACTCCTAATGAACGTTAGTGTTGTTTCTTTCTTCTTTGAATTTCTCTCATGTAATCTCTTCCAATGTTTCTTATGTCTATCTCAATTCTTGCAGCTGCTTGATAACTGACCTTTTGCATAGTAGGTTCTTAATCTAAAACCAGTTTGCGATTTTGGCACTTGAATTGTGCTACATTCTCACACTGTATATTTCTTTATCCTATGTTCGGCAAATTCAGTCAAACTGCTTGAAAAGGCTCCATTAGCCTTCTCTTCGTAAAAAATGAACGTGTGCCTTGTTGAAGTTGCTTGTGCTAAGTTCTGTCTTCTGGTCTCGGCACACTATCACTATGGCTCTGCTCAATGCACTAGGCCATGCTCCTCTTAGACTAAATTCAGTATCCAGCCACATGTAACCTGTATCATTATGCCTCTGATGTGATGACATCTTAGTTATAGATCCATGCTTCGTTGGCTTTCTCCATGCGTGGCCCATCATCTTACCACTAGAGATTGATTTTTTTATTTTTTTATTTTAAATCTCAGGGTAAATACTCAAAGGCCCATGTAAAAGATGAGGATGACGGACTTGATGAGGAAGAAGACGAGGAGCATGGTGATACTCTGTGTGGTGCATGCGGTGAAAACTATGCTTCAGATGAATTCTGGATTTGCTGTGACATATGTGAGAGGTGGTTCCATGGCAAGTGTGTGAAGATCACCCCGGCGAGGGCTGAGCATATAAAGCAGTACAAATGCCCTTCATGCAGCAACAAGAGGTCACGCCCCTGACATTCTGTAGGATGTGTGCTGAGTTCCACAACTTGTAATTGTTCATGTAGAACTCAGCTCACTGCACATATCAGCAAGGCATGTGTATTCAGAGTTCTGGTCTCTAACCTTTGTTTATCAGGATACTTTTTACTAGTTTAGTTCTCTTAAGGCACTCTTCTATTCAACTCTAAACTATTGGATATTTAGGGATTTTAATCTTATGGGATGCATCTTTCAGTATCAATGCTAACTAATACAGTTCATGTGCAGTATGTTGTTGCAGCTATAGTTTCTGTTTTCCAATTACATGGGTTCTCCTTGTTTGATCATAAGATGTATGCTTATTGATTTTGAACTCAAATAATTGATGATGTGTTTTAGAAATGACTGCCATGAGCAATATGCCTCTTCATGGTTACAGCTTGTGCTTCACCTAAGCCAAGGGTCTATCGGAATCAGTCTTTCTATCTTCACAAGGTAGGGTTAAGGCTGCGTACATATTACCCTCCCCAGACCCCATTTATGGGATTACACTGGGTTTGTTTGTTGTTTGTTGTTGTTGTTGTTGTTATGGTTACATCTTGCGATCTAGTTGACAAGTTACTGATTTGAATAAAACATTCCAATAAAGATTGAGTTATGAACTTAGCGGGCGCTGTGGGAAGTACGAGAGACCTGTGCTGGTCTCATAGTCAGCTTCATATATTGAACAGATATATTTTCTGCTTAATCTTACATGTTTTGAACTTATGATGTCTAACCTATTGTTTCCCCCATTAAGGTTTCTTACTGAAACCTTCTTTAGCATATTTGACCATTAGCATGAGTATTCAACTATGCTTTGTTTTCTGTCCTATATACACCACTGCTCTCACTATCTTTCCAGTATAGGGGTAAGGTTTGCGTATACACTATCCTCCTTAGACCCTACTTGTAGGATTTTACTGAGTTTGTTGTTGTTGATGTATATACACCACTACTCTCGCTTGGAAAAGAATCATCAATTGCAGTTAAAAAACAATGTCGTGAATAGACCTCTTCTATTGCGGTTAAAAACAATGTCGTGAATAGACCTCTTCTTTTACTGGGTCGTTGTTGTTGTATTGCGTTTGTCGAAATTGAAGTACACTAACCAGTTCAATTGAAACTAAGAAGCCACCTGAAAAGAATACAGAAAGAGGAAATATATCTTATGATTAGGAAGCACAAAGAAAATATATTTCCTCTTTTTTCATTTTAATCCTCTCACTTACGAAAAAAGGTAATACATTTCCTATCAATTCCTGGAACTGCCTTTAATATATTCAACCATCTCTGGATGTTCAATATGTATTAAGCTGCACTGTATATCATGCTTTTTTCATGGGAAGGGAGGAAAAATTTCAATCATATAAATAAAAAATCATGTTCTACAACACTGCTACCTCAATCTAATTTTTTCATTAGGAAAAATAACATTTGGATTTCTAATATGTGGATTTAATGCAGCTAATTCCTTCCATTTAGCCCCTGTACCATGGACCCGTGAAGAAATACTCCATAATGTTTCACCAGGCTGCACTGTAGTAGTAGTAGTAGTAGTTGCTAGAGCAGCAGCTGGTGCAGAAAATTTATTACTAGCTTTAGACTTCAGTAATGGATGCTTATTCTTCTTTCCCATTCCATTCGCGAGCAACCAACGAGATCCAGACTGTTGTTGAGTTGACGAACCCCATAATTTCTTTTTACCTTTCTCTGTCTTTAAACCAGCAACATGCACTTCAGTGATTTTGTACTGAGGAATTTGTTCTTCCTCAGGAATGTTAACTTCTTTGACCTCTGCAACAGAGTCCGTTTTGGGAGGCTTGTATTCATCATCATCGTCGTCTTCATTGCTGTTACTAACTTCAGAAACTGTGCTGTATATCTTAGGTTTAGGTGTTACAAACACTCTCTCCACCTGAACAAGAGCAAGCATAGGTGTACCAACTGGCTCATAGTTCCTTAAAGGATCACGAAGCTGCACCATTAGTGCCACCGTGAAGTTGTTTCCCAACAATCCACACTTCTTACCCTTGCCACGTCTCTTCTCTCCCTTGGACTTGCCACGAAACAAGTCAGTGCAAGTAGCATGATGGGCTGCGAGCAGTTTGGAGGTACGCTCGCTGATTTCATCTGCATCATCAATTTCTCCCGAGTCCAACCTCATCCATTCTTCAAGTGTGAGAGATAAGCCCATAAGCCCGTCAATGTCACCACCACCGTTGTCTTTAACGTCCAGTAGCCGCAATCCACCTGTTCCTCCCAAACCTACAGCTCCTCCAAAGTTGACCTTCTTTCCCTCAATGGCTGAAAACTCACCAATGGATTGCAGGCTTAAGTTAGAAGGCGCGTCCTCGTCTGACATGCCTGACTGTATTCTCAAACCCTCAATTGAAAGGGCTTCAATTTTATCCATTGCCAAAGGAGCGAGGTCCTCTAATGATACATATTCTGAGTCCCTGTCCGCGCCAACAGAATTTGACTCCAACTTACTGGACTTCGGTCTGTGCAATTTACCCTTTTTACTTTGAGTACCAGCCATATTTTGTCCAAACTCAAATTCATGCTGCAACAGATCTTGTCTGCAGTACGTAAGAGTCATATAAGACAACTTCTTAATACAAATAGTGTGTGCTAGATATGTGCATTTTCAAATATAAAACAAAATGTGAAAGGAAAAAAATCAAACCTCACAGTTCCGTCTAAGCTTGGTGCAGTTTCCCAGGCTATATGTTGCATTGTCTGTCCAGTAATATCTTCCAAAGGCATAAGTTTACTTGCTTGCATAGATAGCTTTTCAATTCCAATGGAGGCTAAATGCTGCAGTATGTCCATTATACCAGATCCCATTTCTGCAGGAACTACTACTGGACTTGATACCTGCATTATTAAACTCCCTCCACTCCTGGAATTCTTGAAAAGTGCGGGGTTCATCGACCTTAACAATCCTCCATTTTTAGTCTTAATGAAGGGTCCTGAGCCTTCTCCAAGAGGAGGCAATTGGTAAGTGTCCTCAGGAGGAACATCAATTGGGCTCCCAAATCCGCTTGAGCTCTTAGGAGGGGAATATTGAAATGCCCTCTCGTTCAAGCCCCATTCGCGCATCAAAGCCTCTGTCTCCAAGTCCTCCAACATCGAGGCCCTTGTTTTGTTATTACTTGCTTCGAGTTCTATCTTGGGCATCTCCTCCATATTAGATGAATAGTTAAAATCTTCAGAAATGCTCCTCCAATCAGGTCCACTTAAATCATCACAACCAAATTCTTGGTGATCAATATCCATATCAAGGTTAAACAAGGAACACCCACTGGCCAGAGTGTCCTTCTCAAATTGCCTCAACAGTCGTTCTCTTGGGGAATCAGGCTCACTTTCAGAACTCGGGGAAAATGGACTACGCTCTATCCCTAGCATATCCAGAAAATCACTAGCCACAGATTCGGCAACATGATCCAAGCTTAGGGATTCTTCCAAGTCTCCGTCATGATTTTTAACTTCATTTTCATCTTCTTGAGAATCCAATCCCTCATCTGCCAAGTCGGAGACACGCTTTAATGCAGACTCCACTTCTTTCATGATTGACTCTTTGGCAGATTCACCTGTCACGAAATTGCAGGCACTCACTGAAAGGTCTTCATTCTCAGTGTCTACTTCCTTGGCAAACGGTGCAAGCTGAGAAAGGTCTTCATTCTCAGGTTCAACATTCTCTTCCAAAGGACTATCACCAGTTTTCATGGTATCTTCTTCTGTTCCCTCCCATTCGTTTGAGGCAACTTCTACACCTTGCTCTCTTATAGAAACCTCACTTACGCCACCCACATTTTCAACATTTCCCTTCTCGGGCTCTGATAACAAGGCTAAGTCAGGTTTGAGGGTCTCCACATCATTACAGAAGACATCAATCTGTGGTTTGCAATCAACTGAAGCTTCCACTTTCTCTTCCTCGAGTTTCTGATACAGCACATTTACAGATACGGAAACTTCAGATGACGGAACTGGTAAAACCTCATGAAGATCTTTTATATTCTCTGCTGAACGTTGTGAAGTAGAAGATCGAGCAGGAAGGCTTCCCGTTCGTCTTATTGTACTCAGCTCATCACATTGCTCACATTGTTCCAAAAATTTTGCTGCATTTTCACTATTGCGCCTCAAGTTCTTCCCCTCGAGAAGAACCCTGTTACTGGGAAGAACCATGAAAGTGTTCCCAACTATGTGATACTCAAAACTGACATACAAGATTGCACCTTTAGCCTTACCTGCTAACCTGAAACTAGTCGTCCACTTCCCCGAGCTATTCTCCTCCAATTCATCCAATGAAAGAGGAAGCAACCTGGTAAGATCAACCCGATGCTTCCCCAAATCAAGCTCGGGAGTACCATATATCGAAGCATACAACAAGAAATGTTTCGCCTCATACTTTGCTGATTGATTGGGGCCATTCTTGCTACCAGATATAGAACAAGTATGAGTCAACTGTTCCTCAAACTCAGCTACCCCTTGAGAAACCACAACTGGACGAGTCGTCCACTCGCCATCTCTCCTCTTCCAATGCACAACAAGACAAAGATCATCAAACAATGTTGATAGTCCTTCAATGCAATGGACTTGAACTGAAAAGCAACAATTAAACTTTTTGGTCCTAACAGCCAGAGATTTTAGGCCTTTCCAACTCCAAATGGATTTCTTACTCTCCTTCTCTATTGAATCTTTACTATTTCCTTTATTCTTCAATTTTGAATCCAATAAATAGGTTTTATCCAAATATATAGCTTTATTTATAACCTCAATATCATTCAACAATTTCTCATTTCCAGAATTTGCACCAATTTTCTTCTTAGAATCCAATTTCGACATCATTCTTGTCAATGGAAGCTACAAAAAAATAACACAATCTTACAATTATACAAAAACCAAAATCACATAATACAATTCAAAATTCAAATTTCAAAATGGCTCCAGCTTAATAGAGATTTGCCTGCTAAAGCATTTACCTTAGAAAAAAGAGAACTTTCTTCAGGCAAAAGAGAGGTTAATAGAGGAAAATTAATTAATTCATAGGTTCGATCGCCATTTCATCTTATAATGGAGCATCAAATTCGACTGCAAAATTTTGAATATTTTTTTTAAAAAAAAAGTACAATATTTAACATAAAGAAATGAATTTGACGAAGAAAAATTAGGAATGAATTTTCTTACAAGTTGAATTAGCGATATATTAGGCGATTGTTTCTGCTTATGATTGCTGCTTCATCTCTCTCTCTCTCTCTGTTTTATTTTAAAAGTTCAAACAATAAATTATGCGCAACGCAGAGAAAATTATCATACTAACCCCTCTATTTCTATTGTATTTAAGACTCCGTACACTCTATTTTGTCTATTTACGTTATGTACCCAATATTTTTTTAAGTGTTGCTCTAAATTCCTATCTTGTGAAGGTAGATAGACTCTTTACAGATCAATCGGCTTGGGAACAATTCACATTGTTCCGGTCGTTAAAATAAGGCTCTTTACTCACTTGTTTGAAACCAATGTTTCTCTCAACATTGAATACATTAGATTTGATATATGGATCGTTTGCAAAATACTCTTTTAAAGGATCTCGATGCACAAGATATCCTTGGGAAGGGTCGCAGCCCAAAGCATGGGCGGATCCACATAGAGAATTGTGGGGCTCAAGCACCCATTGCCGATGATATCGAACATATAATTTTATAGACAATTTCGAATGAAATGGATATATATTTAGGTGAGCACCCATTACTCAAACAGATTGGTGGGTGCTATTGGTTAATAAAATCAAAGTATGCGCTCTGTATGATCTGCAGTTCGATTATTATGTAGTACACCCTTTGACTTTCTTTTTCGTCTCCCTTTTACATCTCTTTTCCGTTTGTTCTTAACTATGCCATTTTTTCTTTCTTCAATTCATTTAGTTCATCGTGGCACAAAAAGGAAATAAATTCAATTTACAACCACCAAATTTGACAGCCTATATTGTGGTTTTGGAATCCTCACAATAATGATAATATTCAAGAAAATATGGATATTCATATTTTTCGTCATTCAATCTATGTTTTATCCTTATTAAATATGAATGGTTCGGAATTTTATCGATGTTATCTAAAACGTATTCAATTCGTCCATATCAATTCGACTCCTCATTTGCTAGCACGAATTAATAATGAGCACCCACTACCTTAAAATGTTGGATACGTCACTGGCCCAAAGGGTATGATGTAGATAGCTTACCTAATGCAAGCATTAATGACTGCTTCCACAGTTCGAACTCGTGATATGTAGATCACATGGAAACATTTTTATTGTTGTTTGGAGGCTCCACTTTTATGCAAAATAATCTTTTATTTATCTTAATTTGGATTATAATTAATTTGCAGGCGTTGCATGATTTAGAAGTGGAAATCTCGAATGTGCAACTACTACTGCAGGTTGTGTTAATGTTGTGTCTCAATCTTATCAAGAGAAACAAAAAAAAGAATCTTGTCAAGATATACATAGAGAACTAATTACTATTTACACCGTATTAATTTGCTAAGCTTTTCTCAACAATTAATTATTAAGAATATCAAAAAGGAAAAGCTAAATAAGTTAGTTTAATTAATAATTGTAACATTATTGATGGATGCACAACTTTGGAAAATATTTAACTCTCATGTTACGTATGTGATCAAACAAATTATATATGGAATTATCAACTTGAATTTATCTCAACTTCATCAATCAATCAAATGAATCTATATATTTTATTATTAATCACCATAAATCGTAGTATTTTCTTATTAAAATTTACTTTGTTTAGCGAAAAAGACAGTAAAATAGACAAAAAATAAAAAAGGTACTTAGTTTGGAAAGAAAACACAAAATATAAATAAAGAAACTTATGAACATATGTTCAAACTATGAGGGGGGAAAGGAAACAAAAGCAAAATAGCGAATTTGTCTGTTCTTTAGGGCTCGTTTGGTATGAAGGATAAAGAATAATTAATCCGGGAACTAAATTTAAGAAGAGTTTATCCCATGTTTGGTAGGTAAAAAATTGTGGTATAATTAATTTCAGGATTAGTTATCCCGGAAATATAGTATTTTTTTATCCCCATGAAAAAGTGGAATAATTAATCCCGAAATAACTAATCTCGAGACAATTAATCTTGGAATACTTCTTTCCAACTAAATGACCCTTAGAAGTTAGAAAATGCTTGTCCGACTTACCTTCCATTTTTAATTGCTTTTTTTTTTTTACCAAACTTATCATTAATTTATGATATTTAGTACACATTAAAATTTCTAAAACAATATATAATGCATAATATATGTGTACAACATTGACAAATCCTATTGTAAAAAGCATTGACAAAGTATATTACAGTCAAACATCTTTATAACAGCTTAGTTTGTTTTGGTATTTTTTGACTGCTGTAGTGAAATGTTGTTATAGAAGATATATTATGAAACAAAATAAAAGTCGGTTTCGAATTTTTTTAAACTTTTATAGGAAATGACTATTATATAAGAATGTTGTTATAGAGATCTCTCACGATACTATTTCCTAATCTTCTTAATTTAAATTTTTAGCTTTTGTAACGTTTAATTTTTTTGGCTCCTTTCCCACCTATGATTGGACAATGATGAACATTTTTTCAACAAGGCGGAGCCTATGCTTCTCAAACGTGGACAGATATCTTTTGCTTTTTCCAACGTGGCCCAGCCAATATATTCAAATTTCAGCGCCAATGGTTTCAAATCAATTTTCGATTTACCTAAGCTCTTTGGACCTAAGACATGACTTTGGAAAAGAAAGCAAAATTTAAAGAGACTTATTAATTTGTCAATCACGAGCTCGAAACAAAGGAAAAAAACACATTCCTATTTTATTTTAGGGAGATACTAAACGAGCACACTGGTGTGACCCAACTTTGGCCACATCAGTGAAAATACATAAATGACCCTCTAATTAATTAGCCTATATTTTTCCCTCCAAAACACAAAATTAAATTTCAAGTCTTGAAGTATGTGAAAATTAAATGTTGGGAGATGAAGAATCTTGTGTATTTCCCTTATATTTATGTGTATTTTATACAAATTATACGTTTTTTAATTTTCAATAAATTATTGTATTTTCTACCTTTCTTAAAAACAAATACGGTATACGATTTTGTATACTTCCTCCTTACCAAATCCTAAACCAACGGACACTTTCCTCCTTGCCTATCCCTAAACCAGCGGACACTTTCTCCTTCTCTAAAAATGGATTCAAACTAAGAAAATTTGGCGGTGCAACAAAATATGAATCCAAATGAACATAACACAAATACAACAACCTTGAATATCAACCAAGATAATAGGTTTGATCGAGTTAGGGACAAGTTGTACAGATCTTTAGGGATGGCATCGGACGATAGTTTGTTGAATGAATACGAATGGGTCGATGTTGATTCTCACGGCAGTTTCAACAATGTTGTGCACTTAGATGATGATGATGAAGAAGAAGCCGATGGAGAATATCACGGAGAAGCTAACGATGATCAGGAGCATGTTTTAGGAAATGAGTTAGAGTTATGTGATGTTGATCGGGAAATAGAGAATGAATTCACTGAAGAGGATGTGGTTGTAGGTCCAATCTCTGGAATGCGATTTAGAGATAAAGATACTTTGTTTGCATTCTACAAAGAACATGCATGACTAAGAGGATTCTCCGTCATCAAAAGAAATTCCAACAAGAAGGGTGGTGACACTGTTAGGTATATAACCTACTGTTGTGATAGGACTAGGATTCGCAAAAGCAAGTTTACCACCAAGAGTAATAATTGTAAAGTTAGGCTAGCTGCTGTTTTGGATGATTCTAGTTGTTGGCACGTCCCTAAGGTCGTTCATGATCACAATCATGATTTGCTCCCATCCGTATCACACCTGATGGCTGGACATAGATCTGTTTGTGATTCTTTGAAGAGGGATCTTATAGCTCACGATCGATTTGGCATTAGACCCTCCAAAAATATGAGACGTGTTGAGGTTCAACGTGGTGGACCGTAAAATTTGGGTTGCACTGGATTGTAGAAATTATATTTTGAAGAGTATGAATTTTGGAAATGCAAGAAGGGGACGCACAGTCGCTGCTCAACTTTTTTCGTGAAATCCAGGTAAAGGATAAGGAGTTTTTCTATTCAATCGACGTTGATAATATTGGTAGGCTGCGAAATGTGGTATGAGCGCATTCACACTGTAAGGCAGCGTATGAGCAATTCCATGATGTGATATGTTTTGATACGATGTACCTTGTGAATCGATATAATATGCCATGTGCTTCATTTGTTGGCATCAATCACCATAGACAGTCCATCTTACTAGGATGTGCTCTCATGTCTCATAAAGATATCGATAATTACAAATTAGTTTTTAGAACTTGGCTTGATGCCATGGGAAATGTTCATCCAAATGCGATCATAACTGATCAGTGTCAGAGCATTAAGGTAGCACTGCTGAAGTGATGCCAAATACAGTATATAGGTATTGTATTTGGCATATATTCTCAAAGTTGCCTGTTTACTTAAGTGGTGTTCGTCCTTCTAAAATTGCACGTGGAGAATTTAAATACACGGTCCTTGATAGCATTACTGTTGAAGTTTTTGAGAGAAAATGGACAGAATATATTGCAAGGTATAATTTGTATACAAGGAATTGGTTCAACAAGCTTTACTCTGAGAAGGAAAAATGGGTTCATGTGTACCTTGATGTGTATTTTTAGGATGGTATGCTATCTACGTAAAGAAGTAAGGGGATGTATGTGTTTGATGGATATATTACCCGTCAAAGCACTCTTAGGATGTTTGTTCACCAGTATGAGTTAGCTATAAGAGCTAAGCA